GTAGGCACCCACGCCAGTAACACTTTTCTGTCGCTTAAGTACATTTTATACGGAACTACTTCAAATATTTTAAAAAGTAATCAGTGTTTTAGAAAGAGAAATGTATTCTCCTGATGTTTTATTTAAGCACGTTTTACATTATTGTTGACCGTTTAATTACAAACGACGCTTGATTTTCAACTTCTATATTAATATTTTTTCATGTTTTATTATTCTCTGACTAACCAGCTTTAATAAAAGACCAACTATAATGAAATTAAGCCAAATGCTGATTCTCAGTAACAAAAAAACTAACGTCTAAGTCGTCAATCCGCCATGTTTGAACGTCATTTTGGGGCAGTTCGTTCACTTTTTTTTGTGGGAACATTGGCTTTTTTAAAATAAATTGTCACATGGAACACAACGATATGCAATTTATAGGGATGTGGGGGAGGGGAGGGGGGTGCACGGTAAGGGGGTCTGGCCCACAGAATATAAAGGCTGCATGTAAAATTCTAAGCCGAGTTAAAATTGCTTCTTCTTTTCTGTTCTTTCTGAAAGAGGTCGTCCACGGTTTGGTATCTTTTTTAATTTCTTGCAATTTATTCGTAGATTGTTTCCACTTGAATTGCCATTTTTCATTTAGCATTTTTTTTCATTCCAATCTCCAGTCAGTAGTGGTCGTTAGATTGATCGATGTGGTTCCATTAGTTTTTCTTCTTGCCAGGTTCGCAGCTCTGTCTGCAGCTTCGTTCCCAGATATGCCACAATGTGAGGGTGCCCAGGCGAGGACGATGTTTCTGTCCGGCGACTCCTTCATTTCCCAGAGGCAGTTTTTGATTTTCCTGGAAATGGCATTGTCAGCTTTCCCTTCGGCAATGGCCATTAATGAGATTAAAGAGTCTGTAACTATAAGGCCATTTTTTTACCTTTTTTTCTGTTAGTAGTAACAAGGCCTGATATATGGCGAATAGTTCGCCGGTTTTTGTATCTTATAAACTTCGGGTTATCAAACCGGTCGATCACCCCGACCCTAAATAAGTTGAATTAGTAATCTAAGCCAAATTATTGTTCACTTTTCATTTAACGTTCATTTTTTTTTTTTTTTTTATCTTTAATAGATTAAAATTAATCTTTTACAATAAATCCAGAATCTTATTAAGATGTTCCTTAGAATGTTAGTTTCAATTTTGGTTTATTATTTTCAATAATGAACCATTGTGATCGAACAAAAAATTAACCCCACCTCAATTTTTGAGGTTTCACGTTTCAGGATACATATAATTCAAAAAACGAATAAAAATGTTTTTGTCTGTCCGCCGTAGTTTCTCAGAAACTACTGGACCATTTTTTTTTTTTAATTTGGATTTAAAATTAGAGGTCATGATGATCCTCTTTTTTCGACATTTCTATCCACCGTTTCCTTTCAAGATGGCGACCGAGAAACTTGCGTTGCTATAGACTGTAGCGCTTGAACGAATGTACCGATTTCAAAGAAACTTCGTTAGTCTTCTTCTCGATACTCTTTAAATTTACCCATATAACATACTTCAACGAAAAGAAGCTGAAAAAAAAGTTACGAGGGATAGTAATAGATTCCGAATTACTGAAAAAGTATACACTTTTTTGTGAATATTGTATACAAAAAGAAAATCGTTAATATCGGATAATTAGGAGGAGAGATATGGTCTCTAGATGTTTTTTTATATCATTTGTTTTGGTTTTTGATTTTTGAATGTGTTACTAAAGTAAAGCTATTTTTTTTAGCATATTAATAATAATTAAAAAGAAATGTTTAGTCCAATAATTCGAATCACCTATTATTTATTTTTATTTTTTACTAGGAAGGTAATGTAACTTTAGATGTATAGTTGTCTGGAAATAATTAGCCATTGTGAAATAATTTGCAGCTTTTTTTTTACAATGTTTCATCGACATTGTAAAAATGAAAACTATTTTTTTAAGAAGTTAAAACACCCGTGTGTAACTTTTGCTTCCCAAACAGTTGTTCATTCAAATAATTAATTAAATTGATAATTTAAAATTTAAAGATATCCTTACAAAATAACCAAGGCCAACGTGGGTCGCCATATTAACCTAATTTTTGTTACAATGAAAATAGAAATTAACAAATCAATAGCTTCTCTATGAAAAATAATTGGATATTTTATCGATAGTTTTAAAACAATAAAACATAAGCGCCTGGAAACTGGGAAAAAAAATCAAGAAATTTGATAATCTGTTTAGTATTAACTTGAGATGAAATAACTATTGATAAATCGGTTTCTTCGTTCGCCAAACGGATGAAAAAATAAATAGAATTCAAAATATAATTGCTTGTTAGAACCGTTATAATTGTGGAAATACATAGATAGTTATAGTAAGTACAGTATTGAGTACAAATGCTAAGTACAATATTAAATAAGTTATAATAATAACAATAGGCGGGCATTGGACATTTGTATTTTAAAGATATAGTTCAGAAAACTAATTATTTAAGGTAATTTTGTACTATTATTGTTTTCAAACGCAGGAAATATTAAAAAAACAAAACAAAAAAAAAACAATGTGAAATAATACAAACAAATTAATAATTAAAATAACTAATTACATGAATGAAATGAGGACAATGATACCATTATAAAATAGTTAATAACAACAGTACATGACGTAAATGAAGTTCCATTCATTTGATTTTTGTTGATAATCACTGAACATAGGATAATCATCGAAATAATTGTATAACATAGTTTGATATTAAATTTTATGTTTGGTTTTTTCTCAATATGTTTTTGGATAGAAACAAATAATCATGATACATGTATTTTATGTGTTTACAAGATGATATTTTATATAAAATTATATTTTATATTTTTAAAATGTTTTTAATTTAAAAAATATATATTTTTTTTTTTGATAAATAATCACGAAATGAAACGAAATTAAAAATGATTTTATTCTGGAACTAAAGTCTCCTAAGAATAATGATTGATTATTCAGAAATTATACACATTATTATGGCATGAAAAAATACATGATAGTACTGCTCATTTGAATGTTAGTAGCAATTGTAGTTTACAGAGGCAACTAATTCTTATATAGTTGTGGAAGTTTGAATATGAATTAGACTACCTAGGTTGAGTAGAATTATCTGTTAATATTATTATAACATATTTATATATTTACAGAAACACGTCATTGACTTGAAAATGGGCAAGTGTCCGGAAAACGATCTCACATGTTGGTTTCTTAATGAAAATTTAATTAATTGTAGGGTAAAAAAGCTTTTATGATTTTTTTTTAACTTTTATTTTAGCAATTTCTGTGAAACTTTAAATCATAAAAATTCTTAAAATAAAATTTCTAAGAAACTTTATTTCTTTTCTGGTTTCTTAACTTAAACTTTTAAGGTTTCTAGAAAAAGTTTAACTTTTATTCATTTAAGTACTTAAAAAATGTTTCGTTAAATGAGAAATAAACAGTAATTGTTCTTAGAATGAAGTTATGATTTGTCATAAATGAATAACTAATGTGTCATAAAACTAATGTGTTTTTTTAAGTGGCTAAAATCTAAAAATCTAATATCTAAAAGCTTTTTTTAGATTGACTTCTTAACAAAATGAACAGAAATAAAAACAAAAGTTCAATAAAACATTACCTGAAAAGTTACAAGGGGGAACGATCAAAACTGATTAAAAATAAAAGTTAAAATTTCATTCCATGTCTTGCAAAAAAGTGATGAAATACTTCCTATTTAATTAAATAAATAATTTAAATAGAATTACATATTCTAGGATGCCACCTTATTTTGTTATTTGAAACTCGAAATTCGAATACAAATTGAAAATCACGCATTAGGATTGATGTAACAAATCGTGGCCATGGTTTGTAAAAGTCCTAATTGCATTTACTATAATTTTGAGATACAGAGATTCAAAGTTAGAATTTACTGTATGAATATTTTGTTACTTAGACTAATAATTCTGTTCGTATGATACCCTGAACCCTTTAATATAATTTTGCATAAGCCGATGACTTAATTGTACTTAATTTAGTTTTGAATATTGAAATTTTGAAGTTAGAACTTTGTCATTAATTCAGAAAGAATTTTCGGGGTGACCCAAGCTTTTAAATGTAGATAGGATCACTCTAAAATTTGATGTTTTACGTTTGATAAGAGTGTACGAAGAATCGAAAAACCGAATTAAATAAATATATTTCATTCAAATTTATTAAATTATTTTATCCTTTTTAAGTTAAATGAAATGAAGCAGTTATTTGTTTCAGAAGCAGTAATCTATTTTTAAATCATTGTCTATGTGGTTATAATAAAAGAAAAAAATACACTAATATGTTTTGTACGAAATCAGCACTAGTAAATTAAAAAAAATAATAAATTAAAAAAAATGATCATCTAGATAAAACTGATCATCTAGTGTTATTTGTACAGCCAAAACCAATATAAATAATATAAAATTTGTTTGTATACACAGTATATATATTTTTTTTTTTAGGTTTTTTTATTTTCTAAAAATTTAGTATGATATAGTTTTTCCTAAAACTATGAAAATATCACATACATTAGTTTATTAAATTACCGATTCATATATGTTATATGCAAACATACATCTTTACTAATAATATAAACGGCATAATTTCATGTTTAACGCTCATTAAAATAACTATGAATGAACTACCACGCAACGTGTTGCAGTTGAAACCTTCTCAAACCAATTGCTTTCAAAATCTGTTTGTAGTTCGAACCTTGTCACACTGATAGTTTCTTTATTTTTCAACTAATGGCAATAAATTTCGTTTGGAACATAGCTAACTTTGTTGTAAATAATTTCTCATTGAAAAGTGAGAAATATTGCCTAAATTCGATTTCAAACTAATGCCACGAAATACTACTTAATACCAAATTAATATTGCACAAAATTAACTGTCCAAAACATAGAAAATAGTTGACTAGGATTTAATTTTATAACAATTTGAATAAAAAAAAATAATAATAATGGCACCTTTTCGATCCCGGCACTGAAATCCCCACTAAGACAGCAACCCTGCGACTTCCGTGAACGCCGTGGACTCTTCTAAAGCGGCTTTCCTACCCGAAGCTCCACCTCCAAAGTCCTGCGCACTGGCTACCTTCCTCTACCGCCGCCATTACTCTTGACTCATCTTACCAATTTCTGAATTTCGTATTTAAATTTAAAGTAAAATAAATATACTATTCTTTAAGAACAACTGCGGTAATGTTTTTGGAGGTATTTTCGATTCTATTGTAGTCGAACATTTATTTTTATAGATAGAATTTCTTGAAAAAAGGAAAACCGATATATAGAAAGACAAAATTTTTTCTCACTAAAATATTGAAACAAATTTAAATTATTGTTGTGAAGTTTATTTATGATGAAGATAAAAATATTTATAAAATTTATGAGAATGAAAACAAGCTTCAGCATTTTAATACCAGAGCCGAGTCGACTTATTTGAAGAAAACATTTAGTAATGCTCAGCTACATTGTTTATCCCCAATGTTCAATTTACAATATTTTGTCAAGTCAAAGCGGGGGGGGGGGGCATTTCTTTAAAATAGCGACCATTGAAAGGAGAAGTAACAAGTGAGGAAACATTACATTATTAAAGATGGTTTTTTCAAGTCAAAATAAAACTACACAACCTGCTTACCGAAGTTGAGATTTTGAGATTTGAAAAAATTCACATTTTTTGCCCGATAGTGCAATTGTATAAATATCTAGGAAAAAGCTCTTCCTATGAAGAAAATTATGAACAATCTTGTTATACATTCTATCAGCTTCAAATTTACCCCTGATGTAATTTCCTCACGTTCAATAACTCAAGAAAAACAGTCTTTCAAATTAAAAATCAAGATACTTTTTTAAAAACACGATAAATCACAATTTACAAAAATTATAACAAAATAGAACAAAATAAAAAGATTACATCTGTCCAAAATAAAATTAATCGAAAAAAAAGAAATAATGTAAAGATTATATAAGGTAAACATTCTATATACAAAACAAACGAAACTATATACAAAACAATTAATACTATGACAAGACACTTAAAGCTATTTGCACTGATAGACCAGTATACACTCTTAAGAAAATAATAAAGAATTAAAAAATATATCAAATTCTCTATTGAAATCAGCTCGAATGGTTAGCAACTATCTGACTGTTTTTGGATGGGGAATGTCGAATTTTGATAGGGAGGGAATTCCAGAAATTGATAGAGCGAACAATAAGGGAATTTTGGAATGAAGTAGATCTGTGAGAAGGCATGTAAAGGTCAGAAGGTCGAGATCTTGTGGACAGGGAATGGACTGAGGATTTGAACTGGAGAAGGTTGTAGGCGTAAGAAGGATGATGGTTGTTGATGATTTGGTAGAGGAACGTACCTAGGAAATATTGTCTTTGGAAGGAGGGGAAAAGCCACTTTAACTCAGCGTAGTGGTGAGAAACATGGCAGTATCTTGGGGCCCCGATCACAAATCTTACGCAGCTGTCTTTTCAGTCTATCGTGGAGCTCTTCAGAGAGGCCATCATACACCACACAGCTATAGTCAAAGTGGGAGAAAATGAGAAAGGAAACTAGGAGTTTACGCGTATGTTGAGGTAGGAGATGGCGGAAGCGATGGAATAGTTTGAGGGTGGAAATTGTCCGTTGAGAGATATGAGAAATATGGTGATTCCAAAAGAGGTTTTGATCAAAGAAAAATCCTAAATTTTTAACAGAGGAATAGAAGGAGATTGGCTGATTATTAAGGTGAAGGATGGGAAAGTCTGTATGGGATCTAAGAAGGGGCTTGGAAGCAATGACAATGGCCTGAGTTTTGGCAGCATTTAATCTTAATCCATTTACATTTGCCCAGGTACTAATTCGATCTAGGTCTTCTTGGATCTTGGAAAAGCTTCCAGTAACTCAGGAGGGGAAAATGATAGGTACATCTGTGAATCGTCTGCATAAAGGTGGTGGAAACATTGGAGAATTGATTTAGGTAGGTCGTTAATGTAGGAGCTGAAAAAGAGAGGAGATATGCTTGAACCCTGGGCAACTCCAGATAATAAAGAAAGGAAGGCAGATAGTGGTTGGAAGGAGACTGCTTGAGTACGTTGTGAAAGGAAAGATTGAAACAAAGAGATGGAACTATTGGAGAAGGATAATAATTTCAGTTTGTTGAAAAGGATGGAATGGTTAATGGAATCAAAGGCTTTGGAGAAGTCGCGAAGGATAATGATAGTTAACTTTTTATCATCTATTGCAGTTTGAATGTCGCTGGTGATTTTAATTAAGGCGGATTGTGTGGAATAGCTGGGACGGAAACCAGATTGGAGAGGATCAAGTTGGTTGTATCTTTCAAAGAAGTTGGAGACTTGGGATTGCACCAATCTTTCTAGGGGTTTTGAGAGGTTGGAAAGAATTGAGATTGGGCGGAAATCTTCGGGTGAGGTCGGATTAGAATTTTTATTCAAAGGAAGGACAATGGCTTTTTTCCAAGATGTAGGGAATATTAAATTCTGAAGGGAGAAATTGTAGATGAAAAGGAGAACTGGGAGGATTTCAGGAAGACATAATTTTATTAATTTGACAGGGATGCCATCAGGTCCTATGGAATTGGTGTGGGATTTCATTACAGCGGTTAAAATGTCTGTAGGGGAAATGTCCGAAAAATAAAAGTTATTGTCGTTAAATGGTATCTCTATAGGAAAGTCGGAACAGGAGGATAAAGGAGAGGTATTAGCAACAGATAAAAAAATGCGAGTTTAGATCATCAGGGGATATTGGAAAGGCTGGGGTAGGGGATCTGGAAGGATCCCAAAGGGAGAGTTTACGAAACAGTTGCCATTTTGATTTTATGTCAGGAGTTGAGGAAAGGGCTTCGTGAAAGTAGAGGGATTTCGCATGCCGGATCCTTGCCTGTGTCAGGTTGCGAAGCACTCTGAACGCTTGGTAGTCATCTGCAAGCCTAGTACGTTTGAAGCGTCTACAAGCAGCGTCGCGCCTCTTCTGTAGGTCTTTAATTTCCTGACACATGCAAGGGCGGTGACGAAATGTAGAGGTTTTGAGAGGGGCATGGGCAATGAGGAGATTGGTAGTAAGAATATCAACCATAGAGTCGATAGAAGTGCAAATATATATTTTATTCCAATCTAGTATTTCTAGGTCAGGTAATATTTGTTCTCGTGTAAGGGAATCTAGATGGCGGAAGGTGATAGTTCGAGGCTGAATAGGAGGAGTTCGGATATTATATATTATTTGTATCAGATCGTGAGATGACAAAAAGGATACTGGCAGTGGAGAAGAGGGGAGGAGGTTTTGTGCAGAGTCTATAATATAGAAATCTAGCCAAGTGTCGGACCTGCTAGTATGGTGAGTGGGAGAAAAAGGAACGATAAAGAGGTGAAAGGGGAAGAATAGGTCTTATAGATAGGATTTGTCATTGGAGTTAGATAGGAAATTGGTATTGAGGTCACATGAGATGATTATTCTGGGATAGAGGAGAACGAATTTCAATAGGCTAGATTCAAAGGACGTGTGAAATGGAACAAGAGGAGGACGGTATACAACAGCGTAGAGGAGAGCAGAAGAATTACAAAGGATTTCAACTAATAGGTATTCAATTTGTGGGTGGTTAGAAGATGGGGATAAATCGAGGATTCGGGTTTTCAGGCTATTGTGGACAAATATGGCTACTCCACCGCCAGTCCGGCTTACCCGGTCATGACGGAAGGGGTTGTAATTAGGCAAGGAGACAGAAGAGGAGGGGATATAAGGTTTGAGCCAAGTTTCGGAGATAGCTATAATATATACGTAAGTGAAAGTAAAAAATCATCTTCAACTAATGTAATTTTTACGCATTTGGTACCCCTCTTCCAATGTGTGCCATTTTGAAATGATTGCCAAACTCTTGTATATTTAATACTGAAGATGGTCATAATAACGGTATATGACTAAACGTATTCTTCAAATTAGTCCAAAAATTTCTAATCGGTACTTGGAATATTTAAAATAATTTCTGTTATTCAGCGAGGTTCAGGAGAATTAAAAAAAAAACATTTCATACATGATCTTGTGAAACATAGCTTATTGGATGGGATACATATTTTTTGACAATTATAGTTTTCGAAAATTTCAATAAAATACATTATTGAAATTTTGGAGTCTTATTAGAAATTATAACTTAATACTGTCTTCAAATATTATACAATTTGATTTTCAATACATAACAATAATGAATCCAAAGTTACATTCTAAAATAACATTGTTAATCTACTATTTGTTACTTTTTATTTCTTAAAACATATTGTAAATAATTTCATTGCAATAAACATCAATTATATTTGTTTTCAATTTGGCACAAACATCAAGACGTAAGAAATGTATACATACACCAATATAGCTTTTGTTCGAGATTTTTCGTTCTTATGATGTTTTGATTTTACTTCAATATTTAAGAAATGCAGTGTTCATTAAACTATCGTTGAGTCAGAGATAATTCTAATATAAGCATTTTAAAAAAATACAATAAAACAAATAAATCTTTAAATATCTACAATATTATCTATCGCACAGTCAGCATCAGCGGAAGTTTCAACAATATCGGCTCGGCTTTCTGGCTTACAACACTATACACAGCTTTATCTAATGTTTATCTTCATAAATTATCAAATAAAATCTTAAACCTAGCAATGATAATTCTATCAGTTAATCTTTTACTTTGATATGATGTTTCTAGGCAATAAATATTTTTTTTTTAATGTCTGCATATATTTTATTTAAATAATCTGTAGATTTTGAGTGACAATTTACTCATAAACAACTTATTTGATTATTTAAATGTGAAAAAAATATAAATGTGATTTAAGCAAGGATGGTAAAACAATATACGATGTGCTTGAAAATATAGTGAAATGGGCTGAAATATTTTAATCCTATATATTATTTTTAAAAGGTATTTTTCGCTGATTTAGCTCGAGCCAGATATCTATCCTTTCATGATAAACTTCAGTCCCATCCAAATCCGCTTGTTTCCACTCTTGCTTCCTCCTC